TGCTGATGCAGTAACTGTTTTTCTTTGGTTTGTTTTATTTTTTTGTTTGTTTTTTTTTTTCCCCCAACATTTGACATTTGTTTTGTGTTTGTTTGTTTGTTTGTTGTTGGGTGTTTTTTTTCTGTAGCAGATAGGAAACAAGTCTTCTGTTGTGTTTGTAAACTGAGTGTCTAATCACCTCCCTGCCTCATACATTTTACTCCAGCAACTCTCTGGTTACCAGAGTCATCAGAAGCAGACGTTTGTCCAGATCTCTCTCTTTCTCAAGTCTTCCATCAGTTCCTCTTGTCATCATTGTCATCTGACACCAAGGGGACAATCACCCCATGAGCAAAAGCCATGTGCATGGGAAAGCGAAGAGCTGGGAATGCCTGTCACTGCAAAACCACTTAAAAATTTACTATTAGAACACTAAGCCAATATGTGTTCAGCAGAAAGCAACCAATCCTCAAAGCACAACCCTGGCCAAGCCATAACAATTGTCAGCTGCACTCAGCCTTCCTCCCACGGGGATGCAAATGGTTTGAAACATGCCAAGGTGTGTGGCTTCATGTGCTGGTGTAGCTGAAAACTTGGTTGAGGCTGCAATGATGCAAAGTATGTGAAAGTCATCAGGCCACTCTGAGAAGGGCAAAGGTTTGTGGCTGGTCCAAGGTAACACAGGCAGAGCAAGGAGCTCTGGGCTCTGCTGCTGCTTTCCCAGCCTGGGAAGGGTTCACTAGTGCCTGGCTCTTGCTGTGGGGTCCAGGTACTGAACTGGTGAGTTCTATCCTTTTTGTAGTTTAATACTGCTCTGATTTCTCTCTAGTAATTAGGGTAAGTTTTACTGGACTGAGGCTCACTAGTAATTAGGGTAAGTTTTACTGGACTGAGTTTTGCTCTGGAGCTGCAAGTAATCAGCTACTAACTAGAAGTAACATCTTCTGTATGAGCTGTTACTGAGTGAGGCTGAACTAACTCCCAGCTTCTGTATGAGCTGTTACTGAGTGAGGCTGAGCACGTGGGAACTGTAATCCAACCTCAGAGCTCAACACACTCTGCCCTTGTGCTTTATTTCAGGCTCCTCATGTTGCTCCTGCCCAGCAGGAGGCTGCCATGCAGCAGGACTGCCATGGGGAGCACAGGTACACACTCAAGGGCTCACTCACCACTGTGCATTGTTTATGTGATACACAGCCCTGTATTCATAAAGGAGAGGAAGAAATGTGTTTGGATTGATATGTTTTTTTTTTCTCCAGAGGTACAAAAAATTCTTTCCCTGTTTCTGATGGACTAGAGCCTTTCCCCAGCACCCTGACTGACAAATCCAGGGTGCAGGAAGTGTTTTCAATCTACAGAGGCAATTTAAGCAAGGGAGAATGAAATGTGGCCAGGATGGCCTTGTTCATGCATTGATCTTGGCCCTACCTGTGCCTGCCCTTCAGCAAGAAGCTGCAGAGGGGCAGACACTGAATGCTGTGCACTGACCTTGGTGTTCCCAGCAGAGTCAGAGCACAGTTTCCAGGGCTTGCCTGGGACATACTTCCTTCATGGGAAGCCTCATACGAGAGGGAGAGAAGGCAGAAAGGTTCGTGTTGCCATTAAAAACCGACCAAGACAGGTTAGTTTGGCTTAGTGGGGGAGCAGCAGGGAAGGCAGGAATTCCTTACCACGCAGATCCCGGATCCATCGAGGCACCTGTTGGCGTTCCCGTTGCAGCTGCAAGGGGAGCACTGGCCCGAGCTGGTGCGGTAAAACCCCTCTGCACAGCCCTGCCAGGAGAAACCAGAAATGAAGCATTTCCTCTGCACGAGCCTTCAGACAGTGGGGGCTGGCTGGGAGGCACGGGAAGGCAGGAATTGCAGCCCCTGCTCTCCCCATGGCAGAGCCCACACGGGCTGAACTCCCAGCTGCTCCTCGCTCCCTGCCCTGCTGCTGGGGTTTGGGCTCTGCAGCTGCCAGCAGCCCTGCCTGTGCCCTGCCCCTGGGCAGCAGGGGCTGGCTGCAGCTCAGGAGGGGGGCGTTCATGCCGGTGTGGAGCATCAGTGGATTAGAAATTATGAGCCTTATGATTGACCTCATCAATGTTTATAAATACCTTCAGGGCAGTGTCAGGAGGGCAGAGCCAGGCTTTGTGCAGGGATGTCCAGTGACAGGACAAGGGGCACTGGGTGCAAACTGGAGCACAGGAGGTTCCATGTGAATCTCAGGAAGAACTTCTTTGCTGTGAGAGTGACAGAGCCCTGGGCCAGGCTGCCCAGAGAGGCTGTGGAGTCTCCTTCTCTGGAGACATTCCAACCCCCCTGGCCACGTTCCTGTGTGATGTGCTCTGGGTGATCCTGCCTGGCCTTTCCAGGTCCCTCCCAACCCCTGGGATTCTGTGACCGAGGTGATTCAGTAAAGAAGGTGTATTAATAGGAACAGAATAGCTTTTAATTAAAAAAGGAAAAGCTTTAGAAAGTTTACTTGAGATCCAAGGTTTGCTGAGCTTTGGATGAGGAGCCTAGAAACGTATCTGCCAAGGTCACTGTCCCTCTGCAGGAAAGCTGCCTGGCTGCTGGGATAGGCTGGGGAGATGTGCCAGCCAGAATTGGTTGTTGTTTCAGGAAGCAATCAGTCCCTGAGAGATACAGCAGTGCTACAGTCATTCTTCATGGGAGATAATAAACAAATGGAAATTACATGACAGGTAAAAAATTCCTGTTATTTCTTAAATGTGTGGCTGGGCCTGGTGAGTATGGTCTGGTACTTATGATAACTCACTGAAGCTTCCCAAAATTAAACAGAAATTGTAAATATCTAAAGCATCTTCTTTTAAATGCTAATTAGAGCAGTAATATAAGGAGTCAGAAACATGAACAAAGCTAGTGAGGTGTCCCTCTGAGGCTGGGAGACTTAAAGAAAATGGAAGAGGATGGCTTTTGTTTGGTAGGCTGTGTGTGAAGTCTTCTCCATGGAGGAACTTGCACCTCATTGTGCAAAGCTGGTGAGACACACACAGGTTGAGCTCAGGAGCACCCTCTGTTCCTCAGCAGCCCCTCTCCCCTATGCAGTCTCCCTGTGCCACCTGGGTTATGTTAGATCCACACAGACTCATGCATGTTTGGGTCCTGAATCTCTCACCCTTGCCTAACTCTTGCAGTGTGGTTGCAGAGCTGATGTAAAAGCCCTGGGGTGATATTTAGCCCTCCAGAATTTTTTTCCCACACCCTTTTCTGCTAGCTGCTCCTGAGGTGGCTGTCAAGTATGTCAGGCTCTGCTGGGATATTGGTTGTGGCTGCCTCTGCAGCACTTATATATTCTGTGGCTCTTGGGGTCACTCACTCTTGCATAAACCTGGGAAAAGTGGGAGGTTCCAGCGAATCAGAAGGGCATGATCTTCTACAGCTTGCATCTGGAGGTGGTATGAGGCTTCTTGTTACACTGTACTGCTCTGATTAGGATTAGATTTCTTTTGCATCTCCCTCTCCCTCCTTTTCTTGGGTTGCCCTGCAGTGCAGGGTGGTTTCTTCTCTGCACTGGTCTCACCATTGCTTCTCATGGCCATGGCCAGCTGGGACATGCACAGCAGGTCTGTACTGGTCTCACCATTGCTTCTCATGGCCATGGCCAGCTGGGACATGCACAGCAGGTCTGTACTGGTCTCACCATTGCTTCTCATGGCCATGGCCAGCTGGGACATGCACAGCAGGTCTGTACTGGTCTCACCATTGCTTCTCATGGCCATGGCCAGCTGGGACATGCACAGCAGGTCTGCAGTGGTACCTCCCTGGCTGCAAAATCCAGTCTGTGAGCAGCACTGGTAACCAACCCTGCTGGTGGCCGTGGCTAATGGACCCTGGGCCAGGGCCAGGGCCATGTTGCTCCTGGGCTCTGAGCCTGTTCCTCTGCAGAAGGTGGCAGATCCAGTTGTGGGGCACTGGGAGCAAGAGCCAGAGACCCTGAGATGCATCTGCGTGACAGCTGCAGGGGTGGGCAGAGGCTTCTAACCAGCCAGATAAGCTGTTTGTTTAGAAAATGATGTCTCTTATGAGATGACTAACAACAAGCTTTAAAAATGAAGTTTACAAATGAGTCATTAATCTAATCTTATCCCAGAGAGCTCTGAGAAGCTGAGATGAACATAAATGGCAAACTCGGTTGCTTTTTCCATTCTTACCCACAATATTTTATCTGGTTTGCTTTGGAAACACTTTCTCAGATAATAGCTCCTAGGAAGAAAAGGCATCACCCCAGAGCCACCTCGGGGCAGCAGAAATAGTGTCTGTTGGTGCTGCTTGTCTCCTTCAGTTGCTCAGCCCCAGCACGGAGCTGCAGGACTGGCTCCCACCAGGCTGGGGGCTCCAGCTGGCTGGTGGCTCCACACACTGTGGGAAGGAGAGGGCTGGTTTCTAAATTGAAACCAGACTCTTATCCCAGTGTCTGTCTTGGCAATATTTCTCTCCACCCATGCAGATCTAAGGCATATTCTATTCTCTGATGCCCCTCAACTGGTGGGTGGTCCTAACTGGGCCAGTAGGGTCTGTCCAAGAGCTTTATTGGTTTTGGAGGGCCAAGTAGAATAATTTTTTGCTTATGGTGGTGAATATGGACAATGGAAATGTATGAGAGTGTGGAAAGGTGTCCATGCAAATCCTTCAGTGAGCCATAAGGACCATCTTTACTCTCCAGCTGAGGCTGTGCCTGCATTGCATCCTCCAGTGAGGCTTTGCAGCTCCACTCCCCAGCAGTTACACCATAACTGGTGCAGTCCAGTTCCCATCACTGGTTCCAGCTCTCTCAGCAGAGCTGTGCACTCTTGGCTGAAGTCCCCTGGGAGCCAGTTTATTCCCTGTTCTGAGCACACACCCTTAGTTCTTCAAGATACCTGCCTGAGTTTGGAGTGTCTCTGCTATTCTTGCTGCCAGAGCCCCTCTGGAAAGTGAGATGCAGGGTCTTAAGGAGCCTGGGTATTTTTTGGCAACATTTTTTCCCTAAATTATTCAATTCCTCACAAAAAATGGGAAGGTGCTGATGCTCACTACTTTCATCCCGCAGTGTTTCAGCCATGAGCTGCAATGATTTAAACCAGAAATGAGGAACTGACAGTCAGTTCTATGAGGGAAGTGGGGATGAGGGGAGAATGGAATCCAAACTGTTTCCTTTGGGTTCAGAAGTTTTCCCAGGCATTCTCAACTGTTCTGATATAGTTCTGTTGCTCCTTGCCCTTCTAGTGATAATGGAGTGATGGGTTAGTTGTTCCAGGGTGTGAGCCAACATCATATTTATAAAAAGAAGTGTTGGAGCAGGGAGCTAATTGAGGGATTCAAATGGCTGAATGTTCTGGGAGCACTAATTAATTGCACACAAAGCAAAAAGGTCTGGAACAAAATGGAAATGCCCTCCCTGGAAAATTGTTATGTAGGCAATTGAGTGGGGACCATTTCTGTACACTGTCTGTTTCCTAATGGTGAAGGCAATTAGCAGGCCAGGAAGCTAGGTCTGCTTTAACAATTATGTCTTCACAATGATGAGATTTTAATTTTTGCCTTGGGGGGCAATATTTGTTCCATTTTGAGCTGAAAAGTCCACTCTTGTGTGGATCTTGCTGAGCTCTTGGAAATCCTTTGCATCCACGGTGCTTTTATTTCCCCCCTGCCTTGCATCTGGATGTAATGATGACATTCCTTAAAGCCAAGAGCCCCCTGCAGAGCTGGAGGCACTCGAGCCTGTGGTCACGTTCTGGGTGTTGAGACCCTTCTGCTGCTGTGGGTGCAAGGTGGGGCTGAAGGCAGAAGACAATCCACATCCCCAGGGTATGAGTTTCCTGCCCTGTGCCACCCTGACAGTTCCACTGATCCCACTGGAGCTCCTCCTGCTCTGTGCCTGCCCAGCCATGGTGCAGCCACGCTGGGGTTGGGATCTTTGCTGTCACCCTGTCTCCTCTGGCTTGCTTCTCCCCAAAGAAGAGGGTCCTGCTGCCAACATGCCCAGTGCTCCCTGTGGCTGCAGCCAGGCCAGGCAGCAGAGGTCGAGGCTTCACCCACGGGCTAACGAGCATCTCGACCCACTGACGGTTCATTTTCTGCCTGGGTTTTGCCCTTGGACAGGTTGTGGTGCTCCCATCAAGGTGCACAGCCCAGCATGGCAGCTGTTGGGCCATGTTCCCAGCAGGCAGTCCGTGGGGGACTGTTCTTTTCTGGCCAGAAGCAATGAGCTGCAGCACGTGGCCACGGGCCGTGCTGGGCTGCTCTCCGGGAGAGCCCCGCGCTCACCTGCTCATTCAGGTGCAGCTGCTGACTCTCTCATCTGATGGTAAGAAAACATGGCATGTTTCTTTAGTCAGTTCTGGAGCTTGTGACTTTCCTGTCAATACATAAAAGCACAAAGGGTCTCTTTCTTCCCCAATAAAATCCTCCATTGGATCCACACCAGGGTTTGTTATTTCCAGAGGTTTCTCTTGAGTGCTGGTACATGAAAGGATGAGGATTCAGGGTCCACATGAAGACATTTCAGCCTTTGTTCTATTCATGATGCTCATGCCTACCAGTCTTGGGCCAGGAATCTCATTACATCTGATCCAGAACAAACCCAGAAGAAAAGGATGATACTTGCCTCCAGGATCACTGTGAAGGAGGAGACAGTTGGTCCATTTGGGAGCTGCAGCTGAAGAGCAGCTCTGGAAGGAGCAGCTGCCAAGTCACTGTTAGTTCAGGGTCAGCTGAGACTGGCTTGTAGCTGCCCTGCAGGGGTGCTCCTGCCTGCTAGAGGTGGAACCAAAGGCTGAGTTTCC